GACACAGGTGACACACAGGTGACACAGGTGACACAGGTGACAATGACACAGGTGACACAGGTGACACACAGGTGACACAGGTGACACAGGTGACACAGGTGACAGTGACACAGGTGACACACAGGTGACAGTGACACAGGTGAAACACAGGTGACAGTGACACAGGTGACACACAGGTGACAGTGACACAGGGTGACACACAGGTGACAGTGACACAGGGTGACACACAGGTGACACAGGTGACACACAGGTGACACAGAGAGTGACACAGGTGTGACAATGACACAGGTGACAATGACACAGGTGACAATGACACAGGTGACAATGTCACAGGTGACACACAGGTGACACAGGTGACACAGGTGACAATGACACAGGGTGACAGTGACACAGGTGTGACAATGACACAGGTGACAATGACACAGGTGACACAGGTGACACACACAGGTGACACAGGTGACAAGGACTCAGGTGACAATGACACAGGTGACGCAGGTGACAATGACACAGGTGACACAGAGTGTGACACAGGTGTGACAATGACACAGGTGACACAGGTGACACAGGTGACACTGACCCGCTCCGGAGCATGGTGACGATGCAGTCGGAGCAGAAGCGGTGCAGACACAGGGGTGACAATGACACAGGTGACACACACAGGTGACACAGGTGACAATGACACAGGTGACAATGTCACAGGTGACACAGGTGACACACACAGGTGACACAGGTGACAAGGACTCAGGTGACACACAGGTGACACACAGGTGACAATGACACAGGGTGACACAGAGTGTGACACAGGTGTGACAATGACACAGGTGACAGTGACACAAGTGACACAGGTGACAGTGATACAGGTGACACAGAGCGTTACACAGGTGTGACAATGACACAGGTGACAGACACAGGTGACACAGGTGACAATGACACAGGTGACAATGGCACAGGTGACACAGGTGACAATGACACAGGTGACACAGGTGACAGACACAGGTGACACAGGTGACA